GTTAACATTCAGGTGGATACGATAAGAAATGGTGATGTACTAGAGAAGGGTGAGTTACATTGGTTGAGGAGAAGGCAAGGCAGGCCTCTTGTTGGATTCATTGGGTTAGAGGAGGAGATCTTTACCAAATACGTTGGTAGATGTGGATGTTGCCCAAGATCAATGTGAGGAAGTGGTTAGAAAAATATATGGGGAAGTGAAATGTGAAGGACTGTAAATGTTATGTATAGAAGGATGCTATTCATCATTCATCTCAACCACGACTTGGGAGGTTCACCTCTTCATAAATTTTTAACATGTTTCATTTTTAGCCTAATCAATTGGTTTAGGGGGGAGTCTTTCCGATAGTATTTCATCAGGAGGGTGGTTTACTTTAAATCATGTATTTCTTTATAATAAATGTGGGTTTCATCTTTAGCTTTGGCATGTAATCCCAATGGGTGTCATAAAGAGAGCTAATATTCTTGGTTTATTTGTGGTTTTTCTTTTTCTTGGTCAATTCTTGCAAGGATGGTCACTACCACCACCAATACTGCTAACAACACCACTTCTTGAAATGCATGTGGTTGTCTTGTGTTTTACCTCCATGTCCTATCTTTTCCTCTATTTGATTTTTCATTTATACTAGATTAGTATCTAACAGAGGGTATGTCTAGCCATAATTCATCATGAATACATGGACTTTGATGATATTGATCCTTTCATCCGTTACCAATGGATTTTGTGGTCTTCCAACTTCTCCTTCTCTCCTTTATTCACTTCCAAATTTTCAGTTATCTATTTCTCTATTTAACTTTTTTTTCTCTCTCACCAAAACTTGACAACAATCAAGATTAAAAATCTCTTGGTTCTCATAAGCCAGTGACACTACTCACCTTTTGATGTTTATTATTCTTATTCTTCTACCAACCACCAGTTGCAACAGCTCTGCCATCTCATTCAAATCCATGGATGTTGCAGGGAATTATTCCTAATTCTGGTTTTCTGAAAATCCTCGCTTAGGGCTGCTTAGTGTGCTACCTAGGCTTTAAATGTCTAATCTGATCGAAAATAAAGAAGTGGGGTTTCAGAAATCAAAATTTCTTGTCTCTTCTGGAAATAGTTATATCAAAAACAACCTAAATAATATACTTAATAATTATATATTATTAATTAAATGAACTTCATAATGCATGTTCTTTGGTGTCTGCTTGATCTCCACTTAGGTAATTAGTTGCTAGGTCACTTGACTGCCTATCTTTGCTGAGCACTTTTAGAAAACACATAGTTACTAAATGATTGCTGCATCTTGACCTAAGGTGACACATGATTTTATGCATCATTCAGCATGGTGTTACCTTGTCTTCGTAATTTTGAGTACTAGAAGGCCAATTATTACTTAGTTGGGTTACAGGCGATGCCTTGGTTTTGTTTGTGGCTATTTTGTACCTTCCTTAATCGTAGTGTGCTTGCATACATGTAAGTGCTGATTTTTTTCCATTTACAAGAGAGCAAGGAAGTATCCCCATATGGTTGTATGAGCATATGTCAAGAGTTTTGGTTCATGAGAAAAATAATAGCAAGCTAATTTATTTCTCATATAATGGCTTGCATAAAGCTAACTGTAATGTTTGTATCAAGTTGTCAACTGTAACAACAGAACAAGAAAGTGTCTATCGGAAACTGGTTGGAATAGGTTGATATTATAGCCACTTGAGATTGTATTATTAAGGCTGAGAGAATGGGTGATCCGACTTACGATAGATTTAGGCATTCAAAGTTGAATTTCCAAATATTCTTCTAGTAACTTATGTTCTTAGATATTCTAATCCATGTCCTTTTGAAGTACAATTATTTTTCATTTTATTCTGAAATGGAATTTGTGCTGAAAGAATGTGGAGAGAAGGCGTTAGTTTGGTTTAAGCTTATAGAGCATTGGAACTTTGATGTCTTTTAAGTATCACCAATTCATTCATCAAAGGTGTGGCCTTAGCAGGGTACCCAGGGGTTGGTGTATGCTTCCTAAGCATGTGCTAGTATTTGATTTTTATTTTGTTCAACATTACCATCTTTTGTTTCTTCTATGCTGATGTATTCTGCTGGATTTCATCTTGTTAATCTGTGATTCAGCATTGGGTTCTTTTGCCAATATGGAAGATAACAGGCTGTCTTCCTTCAAAAGACGTTCTAATCCCCTTTCTGAGAAGGGTGGTAATAGAAGAGGGAAATTTGGTGATCAATTTTCAGAAAACCCTCAGGCTTCAGAGACAGTCTACCGCATACTATGTCAGTCTAGAAAGATTGGTAGTGTAATTGCAAAAGGTGGTGGGATAGTCAAGGCCTTGCGTGAAGAGACCCGAGCTAAGATCACCATTGCCGACTCCGTTCCTGGCTCAGACCATAGGGTATTCGTAATATATAGTCCTTTGACAAAGAAGCCAGTGAAACGCAATGCTGATGGCGATAGCGAGGATATGGGACTTGAGAAAAATGATATGGAGCTGCAATGTGCTGCCCAAGATGCTTTATTAAAAGTTCATGACAGGATTGTCGAGGAAGACGGTGGAACAGATAATGGTTGATAATGAAAATGTGGTCACTGCACGCCTGCTTGTTCCAAACAATACGGTTGGGTGCCTTCTGGGTAAAATAGGAGATGTCATCCAGAGATTGCGAAGTGAAACTGGTGCAAATATACACGTTTTGCCTGCAGATCAGCTTCCTGTCTGTGCTGTGAATACTGATGCATTGGTGCAGGTAATGCTTTGTGTTCTTATGCTACTCATCTGTTATGTATTTGTGAGTGGTTGTTACACATGAGGAATGTATTTGTCCATTTTCTATGAACTCGTGTTTAGCAATTAAGATGAGAGTTAATTATAAAAAAACAACTGTAATATGGGTATTCCTCAATATAACATATGTAATTCAAAGAAATATATTGGCTACCGTTATATATGACACTTGTAAATTTTCATGTCAAGCATATCTGAATTCTATGAATCTTGCAGATATCAGGTAAACCAGATATTGCAAAGAGGGCTCTTAATGAAGTTTCTACCTTGTTGCATCAAAATCCATGAAAGGACAAACCTCCTTCTGGATTCCCTGCCGGCCGCCAAGGTTTCATCCTCCTGGTCCTCCCATGAAAAATCTACCCCGACCTGCAATGTGGTCTGAACGTGGCTCGAGTGCACCGATGCAGTGGAGGGGAGGATATGTCAGCGAGAACTCAAGATTTGGGCCTGCAGAATTTGATGGTGATTATGCTGTTGCACGTGGTGGGGAGGTTCGCGCTGAGTTTGCAATGAAAATTCTTTGCCCCACAGCAAAAATCGGAGGGGTGATTGGTAAGGGGGCTCCAATGTAAGGCAACTGCAGCAAAAGACCGGAACCAATATTCATGTTGATGATGTATCAGCAGACTCAGATGAACATGTGATCCGTGTCTCAGCAATTGAGGTCAGCAACTTTTTATATTTAGTTGATTTGAACTCTTCCTGTGGATTATACATTGTGAGGGCATCAGATAACTCCTTTTGCCAAAATCTCTTCAGGCTCTGTGGAACCCAAGGTCACGAACAATAGATGCTATCCTTTTTTTACAAGATAAAACGAGCGACCACTCTGAAATAGGAATCATTACTAGTAGACTACTTATTCCGTCTAGTAAGGTTGGCTGCATTCTTGGACAAGGAGGTCAGCTAATCAATGAAATGAGAACAAAAGCAGATATCCGTGTGTACTCTAAGGAAGAAAAGCCCAAATGTGCTGGTGAAGATGAAGAACTTGTGCAGGTGATGCATTAACTGCATCTTTACATCCACAAACATTTAGTTTTCTCAAATTAGTAAACCGGAGGTTACCATTCTGATTTATCAGTTCTCTGGGAGTTTTGGTTCTGCTAAAGATGCATTAGGTGAGATTGCATCAAGATATAGAAGCAAGAAGTCTTCGTGATGCAAAGCCTGGAGCTGAACCAGCTCCAGCAATTTCTTCACGAGGAAACTTAGATGTTGAAACTTGAAAGACCATCTCTGTCTGGTGTTATACGAGGTGGTCGCTTAGGCGGCTATGAACCATTCAAGGTCAGTTAAATAAGTGTATTCAGCCATATCGAAAATCAATTAATTATCCATCACATTTTGTAGGAGATGAGAAAGATCAATTAACTATTGAAATTTGGCAATGACACCGACCATATATGTGTTCCCTTCCCAATTTTGATTAATATAAGGTGCTACTTATTTGTTTTTTCATCAAGCCCTATCTCGATTGAGATATATGTATGGATTGAGCTAAATTTCTGTTTGTTGTGCTGAATAAAGAATCCGGGTGACATAGATGATCTTCTAGATTAAATGCTGAATTAAAATGATTGTTTGATTGATGTGCTAAATGCAAATTCTGAATGATAAGAAACCATCAATTTAACAACTTGATCCAACACAATGATACCAATTGGATGATTATATATCACAAGGAAATTGTTTGGATACAATATTATAATACTTGAACATCATAGTTTGAATATAGTTTTTAAATTTAGGAAAGTTCATGGCTTAGTGGATACAACAAGTGCAAGTTGGCTGAGTGATTAGGCCATAGGCTTAATCAATATGTTCAAACAAAAACCCAAATATAGCTTAGCAAACAAGTCCTCCAGATCATTAATCCCATTAAGCCGCAAACAAGCAGCCCATAAGGAATTACAATGTGCTAAAATCTCTGCTTGTGAAGATAAACTTAATTTCACTGGTCTGGAAGCTGGAAGACTTAAGAATGTGTATTCTGGTCAAATGAAAGTTTTTGTTTATGTTTCCTTTAATTGGTAATTGCAAGTTTAAATACAACCATCTATCTTTTATATGTATGCATACATGCATGTGTGTGTGTGTATATATATATATATATATATATATATATATATATATATATGTTGTTTCTTTTGCGATTAAGACGATTCTGAAGGTGTTTGTTTGTTTTTGTAATTTTCATTAATGTTATTGTTTAGGGTGGTGGACGGGAGTATGAGCCTCCTAGTTATCCAGCTCCTCCAAGGGACTATGAACCTTATAGTCACTTGGCCCCTCCAAGGGACTACGAACCATATAGCCATCCAGCACCTCCAAGGGACTACAAGCCATATAGCCATCCAGCACCTCCAAGGGACTACAAGCCTCGTGGCCATCCACCTTCTCAAAGGGACTTTGAATCTTGTGGCTATCGGGCTCCTCCAAACCTAATATCTATCCTGCTCCTCCTATGGATTATGAACCTCGTGGTTATCCTTCCCCTCTGAGGGACTTTGAACTTCAGGGTTATCCAGTTCCTCCAACTGTCACTGGGTGATATACTATGACATCACCACACTAGCACATCATCTGCCGATCTTTTTAATCTATACATTAGGTGTTATATTGACACATTCTGTTCTACATTTTACATCAGATTCCCAGGTACTGTGGATCTGAAGATGCCAAACAATGGTCGAGGTTCTGCTATGGGACCTGGAGTTGGCAATGCTAGTGAGGTCAGTTCTTCAACCTACATTTTTATACCAATTTTTTCTAATTTACATCTTAAAAACAATTATGGTACGTTGGTCCCTCTGTTATAGCATGATACTTTGTACATAGTTAACAGTCAACTATAAGAACTCGTCAAGGATACTTTTGAAATAACGTATCCTATTAGCTTTTCTATAGAGCACTTTTGAGAAGTGTCCTACGGACACCATCTTCTTGTTTTTGTAAGACACTTTCATCTAAAGCTTGAGAGTACAATGTGATTCATTTTAGATAACTGGAACAAGATCGAAGCTTCAAGATCTGTATGCTGGTGGTTCCATTGCTGAGACCACCCACAATACCTACCAAGGCTATGGTGGACAAAAGCACCCTCCGCAAAGCTTCTACCATGACAACTACGCTCCTCGGCCAGAACCGTACTATGATATTAATCCTTCAAACACACCGTACAGCAATACCAACCCTCAACACCCTCCCTACACTCGTTACCAAAACAACCCTCCTCAACAAGGACAATACTCAGAAAATTCATACCAATACAGACCATAAATTACAAATCTCACCAATCTGGTAATTGTTGTTGATTTTTGTAGAATTTTGACCAAATGATTTTTAAGATTTTGCCTTCTGTAGTGACTTTTCTTTTTACTGTGGTTAGACAAGTGTTAAAGAGGAGTTATGGCCGGTGCTGGAAGACCCCATTTTTCTAATTATTTAAATCTTCTTCATGTATTTTACTCTAAATAATCTTTTTTTGTTTATTTTTTATTTATCCTATTCCCATCCACTATTTTGGTGTGTTGGATGGTTAAGAAACTGGAAATATGTGTGCTTGTGCTTTTAAAGTCTTCTGAAAACCAATGCAGGATGGATGATCATTGTGATCGAAGATTATTTGCAGTTATCTGATAATAATCTCATCAGAAGAAAGGTTTGGATTGTTAGTTTTGGTTTTAGTTGCATTTCTTGATTATAATGCTCTCTTTCTTTTTGGTTGATTGATGTGATAGGTACTTATGATGGTGACGATTGGGATGGATGATGGATTCATCATCAAGTATAAGGTAAGCACATAGTTGTTTCAAACATGGTATGTTATATGAAAAATGTCAACCCTAAATAGTAGCAAATTGGATATCCACATTCCACTAGGTATTGTTTTATGGTACAAAGTGAAGTACTATCACTTTGCATGTCATCCACCTGAAGGGATAAGCCATCCATTATGGATTTGACTGCACCCACCATCACACTATTACTAGTTACCCTTTTTTTTGGGTGGGTTCTGGTGAAAACGAAGTTATGGTGAGAAGGGTGAGAAGGGTTCTCCACCCTTGGATCAATCCTAGAAGATCAATAACAATTCTCACACGATCCTTTGTCTTTTCGGGTTATCATCAAAACAACCATGTCAGAAAAAAGATATGTACTTAACAACCATCTGACTATATTCTCAAAGAATAGCCATGAAAACGCAAGTAAACGCTGCAAGGCACTTTTTCTTGCGGTTTCCCAACTTGCGAAATGGACTTGTGGTTTCGCAGCTGGCGGCTGTGGTTTGTTTTTTTATGTGTAGATGCTATCAACTACCATACCGCAACTTGTGGTTTTATAATGGTTTTTGCGGTGGGCCACTTTTTCACAATGCACCATATCTTGTCAGAAGCCGCAAGGGAAATTGCCTTGCAGCATATACTTGCGTTTTCTTGGTTATTTTGTTAGGAAAAAAAAATTGTGAGGCGGCCATAAGGTAAATGTTTTTTCATGAGAGGATAACCCCCTTTTTTGTGGGTAAACCTGTATGTCGGGTAAACTTGCACATACCTAATCCCATGGGCTTTGAAGATAACAGTTAAGAAAATGTCCAATGGCTATGAAGAGACTTGAATTGACAATCCATGAGAAGGAGCCTTAAGGTCTTAACGATTATTTGCCTAAAGATAACAGTTAAGAAAATGTCCAATGGCTATGAAGAGACTTGAATTGACAATCCATGAGAAGGAGCCTTAAGGTCTTAACGATTATTTGCCTAAAGATAACAGTTAAGAAAATCTTCGGTGGCCCTTAGGAGATTTGAACTGACAACATATGGAGGAGGGGCCGTAAGGTCTTTAGTGACCGAGGAAACTTGATCTAACGGTCATAGTGTTTATTTGTCAGTTTAGCTGGCCGGGAGTAGTGCTCTCACTCTTCCACTTTATGTCCAAACCTTGTTATTATTTGTTTATATGGAAACATTCATTGCATACCGCATACCACATACCACAAGTGTTTCCTACACTTATTCCACACATCAAAGTAAAGCTGCCAGAATAGTCATATCATTGGATATGTGGGTTAAAATGAGTCGTTAAATTCTTATGTGGGTCAAATTAGGTTGGATTGATCCGTTAAATTTTTTGATTTTTAACGTATCAGATATGATTATAGATCGGCCTTGGTGATTGGTATATGCTATTCCCGTTTGTCGCATCTCTTGTTCAATCTTGCCATACGTCCAAGCTCTCCTCCGTTGGTGGTTTGGAAGCAGAACCGAGACCGGATGTGACTGCCCCTGTTTCAATGCGGATAACTGATCGAGTCAAACTCTGAATACTAGATATGATTTTAAAATATTAGAGGTTATTATTAAGATAATAATTTAATATTTTTGGATAAAACAATATAGTATAAATAGAATAAAAATTACTAAAAGGTTATAGAAGTGGATAATTAATGTTAAAAAGCATTTCTATTATGCGTTAATTTGATATCATGTAAAGACATGTAATTTAATTGTTGTTAGTATACGTTCATAAAATTATAAAATTTTTAGGCATTTGTCTGGCAAAAATAAGTTAGCTTATAAGCTAGATTATGTACATAAGTTAACTTATTGAAATATTACTTGGAGTAGAATTTTGGTAGTTTATTGTCATATTTTTCAACCATAACCCTTATTAATATAATTGTTATTTATTATTATTAATTGTAAATAAATATTGATATTATATTAATAAAATATTAATTATTAATAATATATTCACATTATTTTAAAAGGTATAAAAATTTTGAAGCCCCAAAATTTCATTAAAACACGAGAAAAAAACCAAGGACA